TTCAATAGGTCTAATAGAAAAAGGCAATCCATGTCTTATTCAATATCTTCAATTCAAGTTCTATTAAATTAATTTAATCTTAAACACTTATTTCATTAGCAGTCAATCACCTATCTGGATTATTGCAATAGCAATAACAGATCTCTGAACTCTTTATCCTTTGTGCCACTGCTAGAATAATTTTTCTTTTGTATAGGTATGGTTCAAAACACTTCATTTGCTCCCCCTTCCCATCTAATGAATAAAATTCACTCTTTTTTACTTGGCATTCATTCAAAGCTCTTCATCATTGGGTACTAGCCCTCTCCTATTTCTGCCCTCTCTGCTTCAAACTGGGATATTCTTCTTCGAACCTTCCCAATTCTGTGCAGATAAAATTCTCTGTGCCTCCAATGTCCACATTCTGTCTATGGACTCCTCTCTATTCCTGCAGTAAGCATGAATCACACTCTCTCCTGTAAGTTCAGATCTTTGTGGTAAGTAATGACTTTCCTCTTCAGACTTCACATGGAACTTTGTTTTGAACTGCATTACTGCACTTAAATCATCTGTGTTTTCATCTTATTCCTCTACTAGACTGACAACCCCACAAGGGCAGGGACCAGATCTTATCTGACCTCTATCCCCCCCTCAGCACCTAACAATGGTTGGCACACTACAGACACAGTACATTCTTGTTGTATTAGTGTCAAATAATAGGTCTATCTTGAAAAATATACTGAAGAACACACTTCTGTTTTAAATTATTACTTCAGTCATAAATAATTTTAATAAAATGCCTGCAATTCCTGGATAAAACGATCTTATCAAGCAGTTCATCAGAAAGCAAAATGTCCAACAGAATCAAGAAAAAAGAAAAAACAATTCTATGACATAGTTCACTTCTAATAGAGATCCACTCAGCTACTCTTCACTGGCTTGCATACCCACCTACTTAAACAGGTTCCTAAATGCCTCCTCAAAGTCCAACCTACTCCCAGGCTACCCTCAAAACATGGGTAATTATACAACACCTAAACCTCTAAGACAGTACCTGTCAATTTCTTCAAGGCTGGATCAGAGATTTATACTGAAAAAACATATCAATGGAAGTCAGATGCAATTCTTACTTTGAATGGCCATCAAACTGTCTGAGTGGTGCCCTTCCAGTCACATCGAAGAGTTGGACAGCACCATCTTCACTGCCAGCAACAAGCAGCCTACCATCTTGTCGATATGTAGCACAGTAGGCAGTGTCCTTGAAGCGGGAAAAGGTCTTTATAGGTTCTTGGGAGTATCGACCATAAATATGAATCTATCACAAGTAACAAAGATACACCAAAACAGTTTCATGAATTTTTTTCACCATAGAGTACAAGAATCAAAAGTTAAAGATAAATCATGTAAAATCAGACTTGATATCAAGTCTTACCCTTGAAGAAGCTGTGACAGCATAATTATATGGAGGCTCTGGAGAAAAGTCTATTTTTGTCACTGCACCAAACTCTTTTATCTGAACAGGAGTCTAAATGAAAAATAATGTCATATTAGTATACTTTTAGCAAAAGTAGATTAACATCTGTATACATTTCTTACAAATAATTTCTAAGAACTACTTGTGTGCTTCATCTTACAAAGAAATATTTAAGACTGATTAAAAACTAATTTTTTAAAATCACAAATGTTTTACATTATAATGAGGAAAGGTAAAGCGGCTACAATTTATTTATTTATTTATTTGGTGAAACAATTGGGGTTAAGTGATTTGCCCAGGGTCACAGAGCTAGTAAGTGTCAAGTGTCTGGTCTGAGGCTGGACAAGAGGCTACAATTTAACAAGTAGGGATAGAACTACAGAAATCTCATTAAACAACTGACACAAAATATTCAGAAATAAGAGTAGGCAATCAAATTATTACCTTACTCTTCAAGTCACTTGCTAAATTAATTTCTGAGTTGCTTTCAAATTTTTAGATTATTTAGACCATATTAATTTGGTATAGAAAATCAAACCAAAATTAAACTGTGTACTGGAAAAAGTAATATCAATGAAAAATTACTTTCTACTAATTATCTCAAGTGCTTACCTTGTAGTTTTTCCAATACAATGTATCTTGAGTTATTTTCTCACCAAGTTTGGGAAATGTCTGAATAACAACAGGCTTATAACCAGCCATTATTGTTCACAGTTGAACTATTACCCTCTAAAAAGGGTAACCCTTAGGTATTAAAGTAGTATCCTTTAATATTTTTAACGTCCCCTTCTTTGATCTGAAAAATAAGAAATACAATTTTTATATATTGACATGAATATATATTTAAAATTTGTTCCCCTCCTATTTTTAAAAGGCTTTGGGGCAGCCTGAATAATAAAATGGTGCAAAGGAGTCATTTGAATACTAAACATAAGAAACCAACCAAAGGTAGCATTATTATTTTCTAGTGCCTGAGTCTGGAAGGTTACTTCTTACAATAAATTTGGGTCTGTTTTCAGGCAGCTAAGGCAAAAAGAACAACACTGACATAGCAGAGTTTTTGTTTCTGTAAATAGGAAATATACACTGCCACTTGTAGAGAGCATAAAGTTTCAAAGACGATCTTATAAAAGATACAGAAATGGTGTTAAACTGAATGATCTCTTATCAACTCTGATGAAGGTAGAGGGAATAACAATAAATCACGACTCAGTGAAGAATTTCTTAAAGATGCTGAAATAAAGTGGTCTAGAAAATTTGTTTTCTAATGGTCTAACAATACAGATCGAAGACTGGGGAATGGAGACAGAAGGATATTTTAAGATTATTCAGCTACCGTCCAATATCAGCATCCTTAAACCTGATTTGGAGAGGCCCTAATAGCATTAAATTCATGATCTCATCTTTTAACAACTGCCTGTGGCATGCAATATAGTCTATAAAATTGCTTCAAGTGTCAGCAATTAATTTAGATAACAGATATCTAGACAACAAAATTAACATTTCATTGTGGAAGTTTTTTTTTTCTCTTACAGTAGTAACAACTCTTTTTTCTCTGATGCCTTAAGGTTTACAAAGTACATTTTCTCATACAATCCTCACAACAATCTTGTGAATATTTATTTATCCTCACCTTATAGATGAGTGATATGTCCAAAATAACAAAGCAGTGTCTAGGTAGAATATTTAGGTCTTATTGTTATTATTATAATTATTATATTAGAAAGAATCCCTTCTTAAAATTTTGATTTTAAGCATAAGCTTAAAGAGTTAGAGATGAGGCCTGTGATACATATTGACTGTAGGACATTGAAGAAGTCACACAACCTCTCAGTGTCCACACTCTGTAAGCTGTAAACCAATGACAGACTTGCATTAGCAGAGGAAGTTTCCTCAGTGAGAACTCCTTACACTAAAGAAATCACAGATGTGACCTTTAAAAACAAACCAAAAAAAAGGCATCAAAAGGGTCATTCTAATTCAGTGGTGGGAAGTTATGGAAAATATTTTCCTCTCTTCCAAGTTTACATTAACAAGAATCATTAAGTCAATGCCTATATACAGTATAAAGGGGATGCAGTAATTTAGAAGCAGGTTCCCTACTTTTTAACATATAATAATGTTCAAGCAAAAGTATGTTATGCATAGCCCAATCAAAGAAGGTGACAAAATTTAAACCGCACCAAAGAAGAGAATTTACTGTTTAAGCAAATGTCATTTATTCAATGAATAAATCCCATTTTTTGAATAAATCTAGTGAGATCAAAATGAAGCAACAGAACACTTGCATCACACAATTAATTTTGTTTTGGGTTTGTTTTTTTTTAGGCAATTGGGGTTAAGTGACTTGCCCAGGGTCACACAGCTAGTAAGTGTCAAGTGTTTGGTCTGGGCCGGATTTGAACTCAGGTCCTCCTGATTTCAGGGCCGGTGCTCTATCCACTGTGCCACCTAGCTGCCCCTACACAATTAATTTTGGAAGAAACTGTTCTTATATAGGGAGACATATTTGAACTTCACAATATTCATTTGAAGTTTCGAAAAACTAATGTTAATTTTGGAAAAAAACAAGAACACACGAAGTGATTTTTAAAGACAAAATGCTTAGATCCTTTTTACTCTCATATCCTCTCTCCTCTCACATCTCCTCCAAGGGGAGCTGTGCAAGAAATTTGCTTTAAGTACTACAGAGGTTTAAAGTCCAAACGGAAGTTTTCCTTTATGAAAGGGATGTATTACCTGATACTGAAGCCTCCGGAAGTGGACGGAGCTTCCAAGAGGGTTTAAAAGTCTAGTTCAGGGGTTCTTAACCTGAGGTGAACTCGGTGAGGGGGTAAGAAGGAGAGGGGTTTGAGAGTATGTATATCCGTATATACACATATATATCGATGAGTGTATTTCAAGAATTGTTTTCCTTTGTAATCACATACGTTTTATGCATTTAAAAACATGATTCTGAGCACACAAAAGGTGAAGTCCAGCTCTAATTGATTAGTTAATTAAGCAAGCCTTCCAGCTCGCCCCAGGCAAGTGAAGCCCTAGGTCTAAAAAGTCCTGTCCATAGCACGAAGCGTGTCGGGGGACGCCCGGCCCCAGACTGTCTCCCCTGCCCTAAATGGGGGCCTGTCACCCCGCGACGCCGTAGACGGTGCGGGTGCTCCCGCAGAGACCCAGGCCACCCGCCGGGGAGCTCGTCACGGAGCGCTGGGTGAGGGGCAAGCACCCGGCTCCCACTGGCCGCCTCTACCCTTACCTCCTCCGGAGCCTGCGGCGCTTCTGCTCGCAGGAGGAACCTCTCTGGGTCGTTCGGCGGCCGCTCCCGCTGCTTCGGCTCCTCAGGACACCATGCATCCGAGCCAGGGTTCAGTACCTGGGATTCACGTGTAGTCCGGGCCCACGAGTTCTCACCTAGCGGCCCCGGGTCCTCTTCCGGGCCCGTCGCACAATGTGCGCGCCATCCGCGACCCGGCGCTGCCAGACTGACGTAGGAGGGGCGGGTCCTAGTAACGCAGAGGAGGCGGGGCCTAGAGACGCAGGGGAGGAGGGGCGGGCTGGGGGAGGATGGCGAAGGGAAGCTAGCGGAAGCTGAAACCCGGTTGCGGCTTCCGCCTCCAAAGTCTTTCAAATCACTGGCCTCGGGACGAAAACGCGGGTCGACTTAGAAGAGAGGAGACACTGTCCGGTTGGTTCGGAAGGTCAGATGGAAAACCCCGCTTTCCTGAGGTCTGGGGCCCCGCGGAAGGAATAGGAAGTGACGCATCAGCCACAACAACCTGGTCCAGGAGGCGGCGGCGGGACGGGGAGCAGGTGAAGGATGGCGGGGCTGCAGAGCAGGGGAAGGGGCCGGAAAGGAAGGGGTGTCCGAGGCTCGGTTCCATCCCGCGGGTCCTTGTCCCCTCGCTCTCTACCCCCTCCTTTACCTTCCATTCTCCCGTTCTCGCGCCCCTGCCTCCTCCCTCCTCCCCACCTTGCTCCCCTGCCCCCTTCCTCCCTCCCTTACCATTCTCCTGCGCCCCTTGTGCCCCTGCCAGCTCCTCGCGCCCCTGCCCCCTCCCTCCTCTGCTATCCTCCTGCCCCACCTTGCGCCCCTGCCCCCTCCCTCACCATTTTTTTGCCCCCCTCATGCCCCTGCGCCTTCCAGCTCCTCGCGCCTGCCCCCTCCTCCCTCCATTACCATTCTCCTGCCCCCCTCGTGCCCCTGCCCCTTCCAGCTCCTCGAGCCCTTGCCCCCTCTCCCCACCATCTTCATGTCCCCCCAGCCCCTGCCCCCTCCCTCCCCTGCCATCTTCCCGCTCCTGCCATCCTCCTGGCTTCTCTGGCTTCTTTCAAGCCTCAACTAAAGTTCCCCTTTTCTTCAAGAAGCCTTTCCCAGTCCTCCTTAGTCTTAGGTCTTCCCTCTGAGACTCTCCGCACCTTTGTCTTGTAGATTTCTTGCTTGTACATAGTTTTTCATAGGCACTTAATAAATGCTGGTTGATTTGACTTGAGTTGAATTGGAAAAAGTGACAGACATAAGTTCAAATCCTGGTCACTTAACTAGATGTGTAGCTGTGAGCCAGTCACTTCACCTGACCAAACCACAGTTTCCACATCCATAAAATGGAAATAATAACCTGCTTTGCCTACCTGAGACAAGTGCTATATAAATGTGAACTATTTGATACAGTGAGCATATAATTATTCCTGTTAATAATTCCTACTACTAACACAGGCCATAATTCCTCTATAGTTAATATCCTAGGATCACAGATGTAGAACTTGAAAGGACCTGAGAGACCATCTAGCCCAACCCCCTTATTTACACATAAAGAAACTGAAGCCCAGAGAAGTTAAGGTACTTGCCTAAGATCATACAAAGAGTGGGAGAGCCAGGATTTGAACCAAGATCCATTGACTACAAATGAATGAATGAAACTGTGTACCTGATATACAGATAGAAAAGTAAGTCTTCCTGGCTCTCAGAGAGCTCACATTTTGATGGAGCTTCATCCAGGTCATGCCATCTAACTGTGGGTGTCTTCGGGGCTTTGTCCTGGGCAGTCTTCTGGATCTGTCTATTTCACTTGGTGAGCTCATCAGCTCCCATGGATTTAATTACCATCTCTATGCTGATGCTTCTCCAATTTACTTATCCAGCCCTAACCTCTCACATCTCCAACTGGTTATCTGGAACTAGATGTCCTGTAGACAACTTAAAATTAACATATCCAAAACTGATTTCATGATCCTTCTCCCTAAATCCTCCCATCTTCTTAATGTCCCAATTACTGCCATCCACACCTCCTCACTTTCATCCCCCCCCCATCCAATCTCTTGCCAAGGCTGTCCATATTCTACCTTCATAACATCTCTCTAAATGCCCTTTTCTCCTCTAACTCTGTCATTGGGCTGGTCCAGATCCTAATCTCACCTTCTACCTTAATGGAGTCAAACTAGAATATAGAGGAATTCTTGCTGTCACATATTAACTTAGAAAACCACAAATTAACATTGTCTGTATTGTATTGTACACATTTTGTTAAGCATTTCCCAATTACATTTTAATCTTTTCTGGAGTTTTGCTGGCTTCTAGCTAGGCAGTGAGTTTGACGTCTCTATTCTATGAGAAGCCTTTCCTGATCTTCCTTACTATTAGTAATTTTCCTTTTGTTGATTATCTTCAATTTACCCTGTATATATCTTGTTTGTATATAGCTGTTTGTATATTGTCTTTCTTATTAGACTGTAAATTACTTAAGAACAAGGACTGTTTTTTGCCTTTCTTTGTATCTTCAGTACTTAATATCATGCCTGGTATATATAATAGGTGTATAATAAGTGATTGTTGACTTGTTGATTTACAGGAACGGTTTCAGCTGCAAGTCAGATGGAAAGATCCATTAGACCTTAGAATACAATGGCAAACAAAATGATAATGTGTCATCTTTAATGTCATTTCCATTGATAAAAAAAAATCATATAATTTTTTGATGTTGAACTATTTGAAAGTGTCAAAGACTGTGACCACAAGAACTTTCTTTTCTGGGTCTTTAGGAGAGGTAGTTTCTAGGTGGCACTTCCACAGGGGCTGCTTCCCATGGTGATGGCTGCAAGGACAAGGCTGAAAACAGGACCACTGGGCTAAAATGTGTATCCACTCTGGGGGAATAGCCCAGGAGTAGCAGCCTGTTGGTAGTGGTAAATAAGGCAGGCCCCTGTTTCACAGGGACTTCTCCCCTCAGTGATAGCTTCTGTGCCAAGTATAGAAACAAGGTCTTTGGTCTGGAAGGCACCACTATTCACGGAGCTCTTGGGTTCAGGTTCCATCAGTGAGTAACGAATGGTGGTGGTTTGACCTGTCAGACACCAGCTGAAGTTCAGGCATGGAAGGTGGCTTTTGTGAATGTGTAGAGGCAGGAGAAAGCTCAGAAACGCTTGTGGTCAGTTTGGCATGTAGAGTGGATAAAGGGGAGTAATGTGAAATGAGACTGAAAAGATTGGGTGAAGCCAGATGTTACAAACTGTACTTTGTAAAAATGCACATGAAGGAGTTTGTATTTTATTCTCTAGGCACTAAGGAGCCATTAAAAGCTTCTTAGCTTGGGAGTGATACAGACAGATCTGTGTTTTATGGAAATTATTTTTGAAGTATTATAGAGACTAGATTAAAGAGGATTAAGAATTTAAGCAGGGAGACATATTGTAGACCAGGTGAGAGGTGATGAGGGCCAGAACTTGAGTGATAGTCATATCACTAGGGAGGAGATCAAGGTGAGAGGTGCTATGGAGGTCGAATCAGCAAGACTTAGGACCTGATCATACATGGAGCATAAGGGAAAGGGAACGGTGAAGGATGATTCCAAGATTATAAACCTGGGTGCCTAGGAGGATGTTAGTTCCCTCAGCAGAAAAAGGAAAGTTTGAAAAGGAAACAGACTAAAGGGGAAGAAAATGAGATTTTTCTCGAGATACTGAAACTTCCAGGTAGAGATCTAGCAGGCAGTTAGTGATGGGAGACTGTAGTTCCAGAGAGAGCCTATGGCTAAATATATATTAATTATTATTTATTATCATTTATATAATTTATATTTGTTATATATTATTATTTATATATTTATTGAGAGAGATTTTGTAGGCATCTGTGTAAAGATGATAATTGGATGTGAGGGATATATCTGATGAGATCACCAAGGGAGAAGGTATAGAGAAAGAAGAAAAGATAGCCAAGATTAGAGCATTAGGGGACAACTTCATTTAGTGTGAGATGAATGTTAATTCAGGAAAGGAGACTGAGAAGAAATGGCCAAAGGAGTCAGAGGGACAGTCAGGGGACAGCAAGGGTGTAGATTGTGTCAGAAGCAACAGAAGTCAAGGGGGATAAAGACTGAGAAAATGCCATTGGATTTAGCAGTTAAGAAATCTTTGGTTATCTTTGAGCAACCTGTTTGAAAGTAAGAAGCCATATTGCACGTGGATAGGTGGTAGGGAAGTAGGTAACCATAGGTTTTCCGTCCGTGCCTCAAATAGCACATTCTCTAATTCCCACATCTGTATGTGCCACTGAATTTATTCAGCCAAGTATTCAAATTTTGTAGGATCATAGAATTTTAGAATTAGAAGGCCCTTGAAGTGTGAGAGTTAAGTACAGTGTGTATCCCAGAAAGAGCCTTGGACTTGGGGTTCTAGTCCCATCTGATACAATCTGTTTTACCCTGGGCAAGTCTACTTCATTGAGTCTCAATCTACTCCTCTGTAGACTGAAGTAAATACCTCACTGCATCACTGGGAAGATCAAATGAGAGAAAATATGAGTGTTTTGCAGACTTTTAAGTGCTCTCTGTATGTCAGTTGTTATTTTATTTAATTCAGCTCCCTTGTTTTACAGATGAAGAAACAGAGGTCCAAAGGGATTAAATGGCTTCCTTTAAATCACAGATGGTGACAGAGGTAGATCTAGAACCTAGAAATCTTAGCCAACTAGTATCTCTTGTGTGCAACTATAAACCATCACTGTACTAGATGCTATATGAGATAGAAAATACAGCCCTACCTTTGAGGCTTATAATATATGATATGAGAATGTGTCTTTAGTGGTATCCTATCATTTTTCTTCATTGGAATCACTACTTTCACATCTTCATATGCCATTGTAATTTATTTTCTAAAAGTTGACAAACCTTGTTCCCTATTTCTTTCTCCTTTATGATCAATATCAGCCAAAATTTGGCCTTAGAAGATAACGTATAACCTTAAGTAGGATTTGCATGGCCTTTGCTCTAAATCTAAGCCGTTTTCCTTTTTTAATACAATTTTAACATTTCCTCCATCATAAAATTCTGCTCTCTGAAAATTTGTTGCAGCATTTGTCTACACCAAATGTAGGAAAATTAAACAAGATGTTGCTTGCTATCTCTACTTCTCTTAAGACATTTTATATCTTATTTTGTTTTGATTGTTTTGTGTAATTTTAGCTGCAGTAAAACTTTTTAATTGACCTTACAATAAAGTCCAAGAGGGAATGCAAATTATGATCTCCTTGTGTAAACTACTAAAGAAAAAATTAAAATAATTAATTTTAAAAGTGTTTATTTGTAGAATGCACACTTGAACAGTGGTTTTTATTAACTAAAGGTGATGAATTATTTTGATTTTTCTGTGCAAACGGTCTTTTCTTCTGAGCTTTGTTCCAAATCGTGTTCCTTGCCTTTTTCTCTAAAGATTCAAATTTAGGAGGTGTACTTATTCCTAATATTGTAGTCATGTTGACTTGTGTAGAGATATGAACTTGGTTATTCTTAGACAGCTTTATTGCTCATAGAAACTGACCATTGCTCAAGTTGCTGATACATTATAAGCACTGATGGTTGTTTCTTCTGTTGACAAGAATTTAAGCCACTTGAAGCCAGTGGCTACTGGCTTGAAATTAATTTTTACATATAACTCATAATAAATTTGAGTATAAAGCAGGTAAATTAGTAATATTTTCTTTTATGACAAGCTGAGATAATGCTACATATTTAATTGGAGCATACCAAAAATAAGAAATTTCAAGTCAGAAGTTAAGTAAATTATATTTTTCATTATTTGTCTAGTTTTGTATACTATTTGGCAGCAGTCAAGCATATCTGTACAATACATTCAGAGTTTGGTATTTAGTTAAAGTGACTTGCATTCCACATACTGCCTCTGATATTTGTATTTATGTGGTACCTTGTGCTTAATAATATTTGTTGAATTGAATAAACTTACCTTAAATGTTGAAATGTTATTTTTCTTTATAATTGCAGATTTTTCTAATACAAAGATCCCAGGAATAATCTAATCTTAAAATTGAACCAATTAGAAACCATGAAGAAACATCTTAAATATTTCTATTAAAATTAAAATCATGGCCTCATCAGCAAATCTGGATGTGGGAGCCCAACTGATTGTGGAAGAATGCAGCAACAGCTATAGTCTATCCAACATGACAGATGTTAAAGTGGAGCCATTGGACCCAAACCCTGAAGAAGGCCCAGCTCAGAGTGGAGCAATGGGGATGAAATTCATTTTGCCTAATAGATTTGATATGAACGTGTGCTCTAGATTTGTAAAGTCCTTAAATGAAGAAGATAGTAAAAATATTCAGGATCAAGTTAACTCCGACCTCGAGGTGGCATCTGTCCTATTTAAAGGTTGAAATTTATGGTATAAGTTGTTGCATTTGTTTTGTCTTTCCATTCCCTTTGTAAAATTTGTTTTACACACATATATATGTATGTATATATGTATACATATGTGTGTTTAAGTATTTGTGTATGTATATGTGTAAATGTATGCAGAAACACATGTGCACATATATGTTACATGCACATGTGTGTATACATATGTGTGTATGTTTATTGAGAAGAGGGTCCTGAGTCATCTTTTAATATCACTTTCTTTCCTAGAATATTCTGAAGCCAATATTAAATTCTTTAGGTCAGATATAATATAAAAGATATATTTTTATATAATATATTATGTAATGTTTATATAATTATTGTGTTATATTTATATATTATTATATTAATTTAATACATTATATATCTATATTTAATGCTGCTTGTCAAGACCTTAAATATTCTTTGCCAGAGCTCCCTTTCAGTTACTTCTCTAGTGTTCCAAAATAGTAAATGAAAATAAAATCCTAATACTGTTTGCAGTGAATCACTCAAATACACCCTAGTCTGCAAATATTTAACTTGTGTTAAATTAAGAATGCTGTGTAACTTGCCTGAATAATACAAATCTTCTTTTTCACTCATCATTTGATGCTTCTTAAAAATAAGAAAATTAGGAAACTAGTCTTGCTAGTCATGACAAGATCACTTAGAGCTTTTGTGAATACACACACATCTACTCATTTTCCATTGAATTAAAGATTCTGTGCAACAAAATAGATATGTAGGTACTTATAATTTAAGTACTTCATAATTTCTCAAGAAAGAAATTGCCACTTCAATCATATACATGTTATAGAATATTGTTGGGGCAGCTAGGTGGTGCAGTGGAGTCAGGAGGACCTGAATTCAAATATGGCCTTGGACACGTAGCACTTAACTAGCAGTGTGACTCTGGGCAAGTCACTTAACCCCAATTGCCTCACAAATAAAAAGTGATGGCAAAAAAAAAAATTATTTTATCTGTTGCTAAGGAATAGGTAGTTCCTCTGATACAGTCGATTAGATAGTAAGATTTAAGATATAGTAGAATCATCTCTATGGATCTGGCAGAGGTTTTTCATTCTTTTTGAAAAGATAAAATAATTGCTAAAATTAAAATAGAATTTTGACTTGTCTTCCAACTTCATGTTGAGAGATATTTGAAAATAACTCATAGACATGTTGGGTAGTATATAGAAGGCTAGCCTCAGAGTCAGGAACACATCTGGATTCAGATACCACCTCTGACATAATAGCCTTGTGACCCTGAGGAAGTAGCCCAACTTCTTACTGCTCCAGGCAGCTAGGACTTAAGGCTTAATAAGTGTTTTTAATTCATCTGTCACTCTTTTTGAATGATTTGTTCTCTCCCCTACCCTCCAACTCCTCCAAAAAAAGATTGTTAATAAACAAGTTACTGGTAGGAAAATGAAAAGTTTTAAATACACACATAAGTTCATATATTTATTTGTGTGTATTCTTATATGCACAAATAAATATTGTTTATGGTGATATATTGACTAATAAAACAGTTTCATAAATTTAATTTTGAAGTAATATCAAAATGCTTTTATGTACTCTGTTATATTTAATATTTATTTGGTTATTTAATTTAAAATAGTCATGATCCATCTTTGTGACCAAGGATATTTCTTTTTTTCTTTTGTTAGGGAAAAATTGACATCAAAACAATAATCATTTTTTTTAACCTTTGGGGTTATTGACTGGGATTCAAATGATGCCGTTTAAATACATATCAGCTTTTTAAAGTCAGTCAGTAATTTTATATGTACATGTATATCCATATTATATATATGTATACGTGTATACATATTCATATATGTGCATGTAATTATTTCTATACGTGTATATATACACATATTTATATGTATATTTATATATTATGCTATATATAATATGTTATATATAAATATATATTTATATGAAAATATATAAATACATATATATATAAATGTGTGCATGTGTCTATATCTGTATAAGCAATCCTTGTTTGGGACCTATGATTTCGTCATTTTGAAAAACTCTTAGCATGAAAATTCCTTTTAGCGATGCAGATGAACAATTTACAGTTTTATAAAATTACTTGGGGCACTGAGAAGTTAAACAATTTGCCCTTGGTCACATAGCAAGTATGTGTCAGAGATAGGACTTAAGCCCAGCTTTTCCTGACTCCAAGAAAACTATCCATGTCACCTTTTACTGTTCTCCCATCCAGTAGTTACAATTAGAAAAAAAAAGAGGCCTGCATTCATGGAATAATAGAAATTACTGAATTCCTTTGCAGTTAAGTCTCTTCCTATGAAGTTTTCATGTGATGGGTCGAAGAAATAAATACACACTTTGATAATAAATAATTTGTATATAAAACAGAAAGTTGAAGTTCTTTTTAATCCATTTAAGTAATTAGGCTTCTAGTATCAGTTGAATGTCCACTGTTATAAGCTCACTACTGTTGAAAGACTTTTTTTCATCTGTTTTAACCTGTTTGATTTAGCTGAATGCAATATCCATACATCCCCTTCTCCTGGAATCCAAGTAAGACATGTCTACACTCCTTCAACAACTAAACATTTTTCACCCATTAAGCAGTCAACTACTTTAACAAACAAACACAGAGGAAATGAGGTATCGACAACACCTCTGCTAGTGAATTGTAAGTATTTCTCAATGGTATATTTACCTTTACTAGTAAAGTAATTTCACAGATTTGACTTTGAAATAATATCAAATATATTTGATTGCGGAGGTGACAGGGATTAGAATTTATGGGATTGGGGGGGGTGTATAATCAGATCTGTTTTTTAGGAAGATCACTTTGGCAACTGGGGAGGATGGACTTTGCTAGGGAGAGACAGGTAGCAGGGAGACCAGTCAGCAAACTGTTGTAATAGTCTAGGTGGGAGGCCTTGGTTCAGAGCCTGAACTCAGGTGATTACAGAGTCAGGAGAGAAGGGGGCATATATGAGAGATGATACAAAATTTAAATCAATATGGGAAATGAGAGCTAGTGAGGAATTGAAGATGACATCTAGGATGTGAGCCTGGGTGACTGGATAGTGGTACCCTCAACAGTTAGGATTTGGGAAGGTAGGGAGTCTTTGAGGAGAAAGATAACGAGTTTGCGACATATTAAGTTTAAGATGTCTACAGGACATCCAGTTCAAGATATCTAACAGGCAGTTGGTGATGTGAACTAGAGGTCAACAGAGAGGTAAAGGCTGAAAAAATAGATTTCAGAAGCAGCAGCATAGAGATGATAATGAATCCATGGGAGCTGATGAAATCACTAAGTGAAATAGTATAGAGGGAAAAGAAAAGAGGGCCTAGGACAGACCCTCTTGGGACACCCATGGTTAATGGACATGGCCTGGATGAAGATACAACAAGGAAGTCTGAAAAGGAGTATCATGAAAACCTAGAGAGGAGAGAGTATGAGGTATAAAGTGTTTAGAATGCCAGGTAATGCATTTCTTGAAAAACATGGACCAGTTAACAAAAGGTGACTATGTTGTTATAGTTCGATATTCTTATTGTGACCTTGATTACAGAATTGAACTCATCAATTTCAAATGATAAACTTCCAAATTCACCTGATCAAGAGATAAAGTAATATAAGATTACCCCAGGGGAAATAAAATGACAGAACCTTGAAATAAAGAGATATGAAAGTTTGTATTGTATTCGATACGATAGCCACAGAGCAGCCACTTTGTTACAGAAGAAGACCTTTAAATTGTGTCTTAAGTCACCTTTGGGTGTGTGTTTCAATAATGCCACTTAGCTAATGTCAAAGTAATGTTACATTACAGATTAAAGACTATCTCTGTAGTATAAGCAGTCTAGTAGATGGTTTTATAGTTTGGGAAAATAAAAATTGCACAAAATAAGCAAATCAGAACTGAAGGACAATATATTTGTCATGTACCCGTGACACATTTCATACTGTTGTTTCAGCCTTATCTGTTCACCAATTGGCTGCTCAGGGAGAAATGCTCTATTTGGCCACTCGTATTGAACAAGGTGAGATAACTGAGTAGTCTGTTTAATCATGTTATTCACATAGAAGGAGTAATTAATATTGACAGCTCTGTATATTAGAGAGGTTCCTTCAGATAGGATTGGCTTTACATGGTAAACTCCATTGACCTTATTAAAAACACTAGATCTCAATCCATGACATGGATTTAGAGAAAAGACTTTATGGACTTTAACTTTACTATTACATTCTATGTTGCTAGGCCACGAAAATGAAGGTGAAAATCAGTAGAGTTCTGCACAGCTAACAGATTAGGGGGTAAGCAGATTGGAGGGCGGGGTGGTGAATGGGGGGGGTGGCTTCAAGGTGGGTTTCCAATATACTGTTCAAAATTATTCACTATGCATTTGTATTGTGCTATCTTAATAAATCACAAGAGTGGGGAAAATTTAAAAAGCTCTTTGACATGGAAGCTGTAACAAAATGACTTCCGTCCTAAGATAGATTATGAAATACTAGACATAAAATAAGACTATCTAGTATTTAGATTTTTTTTAGTATTTTACTTAAAAATGTGGTATATGAACAAAGTCAGCTGTACATTGGACATATTTTAATAAATCCAAGTAGTTTTCAAGATGATTTCGTGGATCAAATTTGAGCTCAATATAGAAATCCTCACACTTACATACATTACCCTTTTAGAATGGCAGGATTTTTGTAATAATGCCATATTACTTCAGTGGTACAGATGATAACCATCTACATACTTTCTTATCCTCTGTGATTGTTTGTTGTCCATGTCCTCCAATAAATAATGATAACTGACATTGATATAGCACCTTAAAGGCTTACTAAGCACTTTATTATTATATTTAGTAAATCCTCCATAGCGTATCTACCCAAATCCAGACCTTTCTCCAGGTCTTAACATTGCATGAGTACCAAGGCCACACTCAGACTATCGATTACTCTTTGATCTTTGTTATATGACTAGCTTACCACCTTTTCTTATGTTTTCTGACTGATATCTCTTATGTCACTTCTTGATTCAACTCATAAAACAAAGAATAACAAATATAGCATAATTGTTGTGTTAGACACTGAAATTATTTTTCTTTTGAACAGAAAATGTAATCAACCATACAGATGAAGAAGGATTTACTCCTCTAATGTGGGCCGCTGCTCATGGACAAATAGCAGTGGTAGAGTTTCTGCTTCAGAATGTAAGACAATTTTTCACAAACTTTATTTTATATTAGTAACTTTCAGATTCAATCATTAGTAATTATTAAATGTTCACTATGTATCCCAAACTGTGCTGAGTCCGTGGGGTATGGAGGAAAAAATGTAAAACATCATCCCTGACCTCAGGGAGCTTACAGGCTAGTCAAGGGAACTACACCAATACATATGAAAATAAGGAATCATAGTATCCCAGTGATCCAGCCACCTATATGAACAGCAGTCCCCGCTACAACAACACTGACAAGTGTTTGTCCTGCCTGTCCTTGAAGCTCTCCAGTGATGGAGAACTCACCAGTTCTTAAGGCAACCTAGTCTACTTTTGCTCTAGTTTTAGGAAGTTTTTCTTGCCTCTACATATAGCAGAGTTGAAAGAAGGGAGAGTTTTGTGTGAGCTGGAAAAGGTTTCTTGGTAAAGGTGGGATGAGCAGAATCTTGAAAATTTAGGTGGACAAATGGAAGGAGAAAGGAATATTACAGACAGAGGGGAAAATCATAAGATTCTCTTATGAGTGCAAAAAGCACATTTACTTGAAATTGAAAGAATTACAGACTGCGCGGTACTTTCACGTTAGGTTCGGATCTCAAGATATAATGACAGGTACTCAGTGTAAACTTAACAAATTATCACATTTATTTTACAATGATTAATAATGATCAAGGCAACACAAACAAGTAAAGATAAGAATAACATTCAATACAGTAAGTAATAATCAAAATCAAGAGAAGGGGGAATAAGAAAAGAAAGGATACATACTCACTAACCAGGTGAGCTCAATTACCTACTGGACTGGGGAGACTGAAGGCAGTCAAGAGGTCTGGTCAGGGAGGCAGTGGAGCGGTGTCCCACTGCCACTCAAATATTAGAGACCTTGCATGAGGTCCGTCACTGATCAACAGAGACTTGGCGTCCCTATCTCTGGCATCAAAGTACTCCAAAAAAATCCCTTTCCAAATGACCCTTTTATATCTATGTAAACCAGGGGAAAATAATCTTAATATTTTGTTTTGTGTACATATCCTTGGTAAGCTCATGTCCACGACACGCAGACATTTTAACAAAGGTTGGAGCTTGATCAGAGCCCCAAATACCTGTTTGTTGTGTAAGTCTCCAAGCAGTGATCAATTCCTTGAACGGATACACTCTTCTCAAGAAAATGTTCCTTGAGATGAATTGCTTTCCCGGGTGACATAGTTTGTTGGTTACTTAATGCTCTGTCTCCTTGGTACACTTGGCCATGCATGTTAACTCCAGTTTACATTCTTTATGTCAGGTCATGAGGCGGTTACAGGGGAGGGGGAGGATCTCCTCAGTTTCCCTTACAATACCATAGTTAACCTCATTAAAGAAAATGTTATTGTGTCATCTTTTTTATTTTTACTGATAATAAGTGACAGTGTCAATAACAATCAAGACTTTAAGTTTTGATGGAACTGAAAGAGGCATTTTATCGATTTTTTCTCCTAGGGTGCAGATCCACAGATTTTGGGGAAAGGACGAGAAAGTGCCCTGTCATTGGCGTGTAGTAAGGGATATACAGACATTGTCAAAATGCTGCTAGATTGTGGAGTAGATGTTAATGAATATGATTGGGTAAGTTGGGTAAGACAGTTGTTGCCTCTGACTTTCAAATTGTGGGCATGTTATGTGACTTGTATTTCACTCTCCTCTTCCTTAGAAGTCTTAAGGAATTATGTAAGTGATGTTTATATATTTATTAATGACAACAGTAATTGAAACATAAGACTTTATAAGTTACAGACTTACTCTTTAATCTGATAACCATTGCCTTTGTCAAACATTGAAATTTGTCTTTTCATATTAATTTTATTTAAATTTTGGAGGGTGGTTGAAAGTAATTTAAATTATTTTAAATTGCTTTTAGGTTCCTAATTCTTATTGATTCTTCTCAGATCAACAGTTTTTGAAAGATATTGCTAGAATAATATCAATGGCTTTAGATTGACTTTTTTTTCTTTTCTTCCTTTTTTTTTCCAGAATGGAGGAACACCTTTACTTTATGCTGTGCATGGGAATCATGTGAAATGTGTAAAAATTCTACTAGGTGAGGCAAATAAAAATCAGAACTAGTGAGAAATTACCATGTGTGACATTAACTTTCCCTTTTTTCATTTTTTCACAAATTATTTTTTAGAAAATGGAGCAGACCCAACTATTGAAACAGATTCTGGATATAATTCTATGGATTTATCTGTTGCTTTGGGCTATAGAGGTGGTAAGTACTTTAGAATTCCATCCTGTTTAGCTAAACCTTGTAAGTTTTTCAATGAAAATCATCCCACCACTATTTATCTTGCCTAAATTCTGGAATATTTTGTCATAAGACACCCAGCTTCTGGCATAAACTCTGACTTGAATAAGTATGATTTACTATTAAAATGACTTTATAGAAATATTAGAAAAAATATGAATAGAGAGAAAACAAATCTCTATACAATCTAGAAACCATTTTCAGTTCATGTTAAGTCTTTTCCAGCTTAAGTTTCCTAGCGGATGAGAGTATGTAAGGGCCTGCTTATTTACAAGGTGCTTTTAGCATTTCATTCACAAATTGTATTTACAAAATATTTCATAATTGTTTTCATCATTCCTTATAATACCTTTGTTAGTCAAAATGGATATCTCAGTTTTGCAAAGGAAATTCATTATTGGTCTGAATATATGTTATACTTTTCTTGAACATCTAACCTATGTGAAACCTGAATGTCACCTGTAATAATTTATATAAATATACACTGAAAAACTTTTTCCTTTAAAAAGAGTTCTCATTTTAGGGGTGTGGCCTACAGTTCAGTATTGTGGTAACAAACACAGAAGTCCACTAGACTTGCTGTGTCATATAGTCAGTATCAGACTTGGGTTTCAAATGCCTGGTTTCCTTGTCTACCAAGCTGTATACTTCAGACAGCGCACTGTTGCTTGGAAACCAGTGTTTTCAGAGATGAGGTCATGTTTCTTAAATGTGATATAACTTGTTTACAGTTATAGTGATCCTGATTGTTTCTTTATTTTAGTTCAACAGGTTATTGAGGCACATTTGTTGAGGCTTCTACAAAATATCAAGGAATAGACTTGTCAACAGGAAATATTCTGTAAAAACCATTTGCTTTTTTTTTTAGTCCCAATAAGTGACAAAGACTTGTTTACTTTTTTAAACTTTACCTCAGTCACAACATTTACTGATTTTTAGTAAATTTTAATAAATTTCACTCCAAGTAATTCACTGGTTTATAGTAGGCTTGGTGTGGATGTTTTCTTTAAAATTGTATTTTACTGTGTATTTAAAAATGTAAATTAATGTTCTGTCGCATGTAAACATTTGTGGTCAGCATAGTTATATAAGTCTTCATATCAAGTGTAGTAGTTTTATGTTTCCAGAATTTATTCAAAACAATCCTCTCTTCTCTCTTGCATTCACCTATTGACTTTATATGTAGAATTTAGGTGAATTCCCACAGAAAACCAATGTTGTTGTTAAAGTTTTTTAAAAGTGCACAAAGTGTGATTGTTTACAGAATGCTGTTCACTTATAAATGACTTGTCTGTCTGCATAGCTGTCCTTGAAAATTCAGGATATATTTTGAAATTTCTTTAGGGTTTCAGTTTAAATTGTTCTATTAGTGATTTTAAATATTTATAAACACTCTTGTTTTAGATGAACCTGAATATAATTAAGGTAAATTTAATATATACTCTAATATTCAAATGGGTCTTGGATCTTATCAATCTGGATGTTTACTCCATTAATGCAATTGCAGTCTCTCCATGTCTGCTTTGTAACTCTTGTTTATGTCCTCCCATAAGTTCATTTCAGGGGTTCCACTCAATGTGCTAAAGTCATTCCTCATTTTTTCCTGCCATCATGAGTGTATCAGTGGAGCCCTCAGGCTCTCTACCTGTCATCCTTTGCCCTTGCCATGTGACTAGCTCATCTTCTCTTCTGTCATACATTTCTCCAGTGGCAGCTCTCATTCCAGTTCCTCATAGTTCTTCACTGCTTATGTGTGGCAGGCAGCCTACTCACTCCCGCCACGTGCCTCTCCATTGCTCTGTGTGTGATATCATTTCTGCTTCTATAGAGACTTGTGTTCCATTTCTCACAGCCCTAAGATAGCACTGTTAGCATATTGATCTTAAAAACATGAGCCTTTATTTCTGGAGAAAATTTGGGAGCTTTCCAATCTCCTAAAGGCAATGCATCCTGCTCTCTTCTTCCTGCTTGACTCTGGGCCTGGCTCCTCCTTTGTACTCTCTGTCTCATGTGGACATACAGTCGGACAAATTCTATATAATGCACAGATTATGACATGAAGTTGGATAAGCAATAGATATTCTCTGTCCACTCTTAAATGGTTAAGAATCTCTTCAAGGAGGCTCCACTATGTCCCAGCACTTGATGCAACCAGCATGACGTCATCCGCGGCAGGAGCATCCACAACACCTCACTGTGCATAGGGAACCGCTCTTCAACCCAGCCTCCGAACCGGATCTGCCTCCTCTTGGTGGTGGACGTCTTTGGCAAGCACATGGCTCCCTGTTTTATGTCTCACCCAGTGTTTGTGATCTTTGAGTTACAATTACTAAATAATGTCATTTCTCATTACTCTTTTCAGAGAATCTTGAATGGTTGTGATGGCTAGATCAAAGGTACCTTGTTGGAAGAGATTTTAAAATGGAATTTTGTTCTAACAAATCAAATGCTTTTTTTCATAATCAGTAGTAAGCACAATGGGGTTATGTATCCTCTACATCTTTCAGTCAATTATAAAATGGTAAAAGTGTGGCCCACAGTAGATATGTCTGGCAAAAGCATGCCTGTTCTCTGTAAATACTCTAATTGACTATGCCCTCAATGTGTGTATAGATGAGTCTCATAAAGATTTTACACAATAGAGAGCATAGGTAGTGTATAGTGTTGGGCCTGGAGCGAGGAAGATCCAAGTTCAGATCTGGCCTGGGCATGCCACCCTCTCTCAGCCTCAGTTTCCTCATCTGTAAAGTTGGAGACAATAACAGCACCTACCTCACAGGGTTGTTGTGGGGATCAAATGAGATAACATGTAAAGTGGTTTGAAAACTTAAAGCTCTATGTACATATTATTTGTTAGTAATTATTGATGTTCTCCAAGTTTCCCCTTTTTTCCTGTATTCGTGAGGTCTGAGATTTTTTTTTCACATGTTTTTGGTGTGTTGCCTTCATCACTTACCTTGTGTGAATTGGTCCTTCACCCACACCGTATCACTCCTTCCTCGGTGTCCTTTTGGTCCGAGGGCACTTGTTGTCTTCAGTGCCATCTTTGAAATAAGTACATCTGAGACTGTAATGTTTAGGACCAAATGAAGTGGTTCCCCTTCTCACAGGTCAGAACAGAAAAATAGCAGTCTTCCATTGTTCTTCTTTTTGTTTGTTGTACTTCCATTTTCATCCTTAAATGTCCCCAGGGATTTTTGCTTAGTTTGATCTCCTACAGAGAAGTTGGCTTGGGCAGTTTTTTAAAAGTGTACAGATGGCGGTCATTTACAGAGTGATAACTCAATTCTAACTTTAAACTGGTTTCGCCCTCTGTTGTTTCTCCCTGCTTTTTGAGGTGATGGTGCTCCTTGTCATCCATCATAAGAGTTTTCAAATGACTTTATAGTCTTAACCTAGTTTTGCCTGTCACCACCATTTCTCTTGTCACTTGGCAAGTAAATGTCTACAGACTAAGGTGCTTTGTTAGGTTTTTTGGTCTTCTTGTTATGGCATTTGATTGACATCAATTAAACTGTAAAATTGTTGTGATCATCACTGATGTCATTTCTGCTTTCTACTGCTCATTTTTCATTATCAATTACTTGCTTAGATGATTCAGGATTAAGTTGTTTCAATTGAATTCCATATCATTTTCTCATTATTCGCTCTAGGTTTTTCCTGATTTGTACTTTGCTCCAACAAGTCTGTGGCTTAACCGTACACAGATGGCCAGATACCTTCCCATCAATAATAAGTTTAAAATGGAATTAATTTTGTTTTTTTGTGATGTTAGTCAGTGTTCACCATGCCCGGTGCTTGCCAGTTTTCTTTTTGAAAAAATATTCACGATGTAAAAGTGTGCAGCTTCTGTGTGGTCTGAAAGTGTTAGGTCTTTTTCTTAGCTTCCCTTCCTACCTGTGTTTTCCGATTTATTTTCTACCATTCTCACCTATTCCTTCTTTGCTTTAAAGTCACTGAGCATGGCAAAAGCAGCATCTCTTAAGGCCCTGCCACATAGACTGCCTAGTTCCTCCTAAAAACAAGTCATGTAGCCTGGGCTGATTTTTCACTAAAAGGCAGGGAAGCCTTCCCTGAGACTTGATTGGGCCAGCATGGCTTGAGCCATTGACGCAACTTCCTGCTTGATTAAGGCATAAAAAGGCCAATCCGCAAGGAGCCAGTGCCCTTCAGACTCATTGGATATTCCGCTGTCATGAGAATCAACACACCCTTTTGACTTAGGTTTTTCATATGGAAAAGAAGTAGTTTACATCTGCCTAAACCAGCATATTCTCACCACTCTGGCTAAGTAAACCTTTTGTCTGCTGTCAGCAGCTTTATGAGTTTCATCCAGTCCCAAGCCTGAACCACTAGACTTGCCATTTAGGCCTGGTCCACAACATAAGTATTAAATTTTTGTGTTGATTTAATTTGTAAGGTCTTAGAAAATTTTTTGTAGAATTCCTCTGTTTCTTCATCTTCTGCATTCAATGTTAGTATGTAAGCTACAATTATTTTCTTGGTGCTCTTTTTGCAAATACTCATCACAAATACTGCAATACTAGACAACCAAGTATCCAGTGAAGTAATGTTTCTTGTTGTCCTTGGGTATACAAGTAAACCAACTATAACAACTCCTTGGTTTTTACTGAGTCTTCCTTTTCTTTAGTTGCAGCTTCCTTCTTTTGGTTTCTTTTATAGTAAAAATGTCAACATTAATATAAATCAGCTCCTTCATCAATAAGTCCACTGCATCAGTCACTGGTCAAAGACCCTACCAGCAATTAAAGTATAAAGACCATCTACAAAAACTGATTCTTAGCACTTTGTGCCTCTTTTGCCACTAACATTTCGGAAGTGGAAGGAGACTGCATAGCATTGGGAACTATTTTCTAATTAGTTTTTGAAGGTCAAAGGACTTATTCCCAAATGGCCATCCTACTACTGCAGAGGTTCCTGCTCCACATGTAGCTAGGTTGGTCCTCAGAAAGCTGTTCCAGTCTGTAGCCATTACTGTTCTGGAAGCCTTTGCCTTGTGAGCTCATGCTCAACTGGAATGCTTCCAAGGAGGCACTGAAGTAGAACTCTGGAGAATATAAATCAGTAAAGCTTGTTGACATAGGGATCTAGCAGTGTTCTCCAACTCATTATGCTATGGTGATGTTCCTGGGACAGAATTCTCACTAAGAAAAAAAAGTGTAAGATAGATTAATGCTCTAAGAATAGCAGGATGTCACACAATCGTCTCAGAGAAACAGTGCAAATCTGATCATCCAAATCTAGTGAAGAGAGCAATAGACTAGAGATTGACTTGACAGCTGGGTCCATGACCTAGATCATTAGCCTGTGCCTTGAATTCTTCTTGTGTAAAACAGCTAATCAGAGTTACCTCTCCCTATATTCAAGTTATTATGAAGATACCCTTCTCAAAAATGGAGTGGCATATACTTCAATTCTTTAAATATCTGCGATTTCATCCATGTAGATATAGGTTAACTTTTCCTATTCATATTGCAACCCCTTGACTTTCATAGATGGTTTTGCAAATTGCTATCACCAAACAAATTAAGCCATCTAGTACCCAACCTGGTAATGAGCTCCTTAAGGTGGACTTGGGGACTTGAAAACCTGAGTTCCAGTTCTGCCTTACATGCTAAGACCCTGGGTGGGTTATTCAACCTCAAAGCCTCAGTTTTCTTCATCTGGAAAATGGGAATGATGATAATAGCATCTACCTCCCAGGGTTTTTATAGGGGTTAAGTGAGGTAACATGTAAAGTGCTTTGCAAACCTTAAAAGTGTTGTGTACATACTAGCTATTTGTATATAATCAAAGCCTTTTCACTGCAGTAGAATCTGTTAGAGCTTGACTTAGCAGACTGAGCCTTCAAACACTCAGGGTTACCCATGACCCCATGAGGCAGCAGAATAGAACTTCAGTGAAAGGAGATAATCTCTAGGGAAACTCTTCAGAAGTGAAAATGATGTCTTTCATTCATCTTTAGAGATGCTGCTGACCCACTGTCAAGAAAATTCTTTGAGTTCAGTGGTAGCAGTGGTGGGCTTATGCAAAATGACCCATAATTCTTGAGTGATTATCTATATTAATGGCGTAATATCTGGCAAAACCATGACATTGGCCTTATTACTACCACAGTCTTATCATGAAGTCAAACATCTGTGAGGAAAAGTGCTATACAAATTTAGGATATTGAAAATAACTGAAACATATAGAGTACTTTAGGAGTAGCTAGATGGCACAGTGGATAGAGTGTTGGGCCTGAAATCAGACTCATCTTCATGAGTTCAAATTTGGCCTCAGACACTTACTGGTTGTGGGACCCTGGGCAAGTAACTTAACCCTGTTTGCCTCAGTTCCTCATCTGTAAAATGAGCTGGAGAAGGAAATGGCAAATAATTCCAGTATCTTTGCCGAGAAAACCTCAAATGGAGTCACAAACAGTTCAAAAGGACTGAAAACACATACACACACACACACACACACACACGGAGTGCTGTAAGTTTCCTAATGTGTGTAACACATTAATCCCATTGTCACAATCCTCTGAAGTGTTATTATCCCAATTTTACAGATGAAGATTCTGCATGCTGAATGGTTGTGATGACTTTGGTCACACATTAGGACAGAGGCAGAACTCAAACCCTGATCTTCATAACCCAGTGCCCAGGATGCTATCCACAATGCTATGCTGTCAAGGGGCAATAGATGGTGCAGTGGATCGGCCTGGAGTCAGGTTGACTTCAGTTCAAATCTGGTATCTGACACTTAACTGTGTGACCGTGGGCAAGTGACTTAACCACGTTTGCCTCAGTTTTCTCAAACTTCAAATGGGATAATGGCAAGCACCTACCTCCCAGCGTTGTTCTGAGGATTAAATGAGGTACTTGTAAAAAGTGCTTGGCACATGTATAGTAGACACTGTGCTGTGTGCTAAGTCTTTTCTGCAGCTCACCACCACATGCCCAGAAGCAGTCAGGAAGTTTGTAAACCCCAAAGTTCCCAAGCAATGAGTTGACATTTCCTTAGAGTCCCAGCGTTTTCAGGCGAGTACTGAGTACATGCTGCCAAGGCTGAGTCAGCCTTACACATTAGTCAGTTATCAGTCCTACTGAAGTCATCAGCAGGGATTTTGCAGGAATTTTGGAATGAAGGTAAGTCTAAGAAGGATGAGGGACACTATACTGTCAGAGGACAGTGTAAGGGCATTTGGAGTTTGGGGAATAAGGAACAAAAAGCAGGAGATGTTAGAGGAAGTTTTGTAAAGGGAAATGGAAGAACAAAGACAACACTGTCTTGTGGTGGCATGGTTATTTGTTTTAAGGTCATCTATAAAATCCCTTCAAAAA